AACTATTGCAGGGATTTGATCCAAGATCCTCGAGGAATTTGGTCCATTTTTCTCGAAGAATTATACGATTGGGAGACTTTGGAAAGAATGACTCCAACAGACAATGTTCGAATCACGTCTGTAGTCAACAAATACCATGTTGAGATGTTGAAAACATGGATTGCAAGAAAGTATGTGGAAGAGAACGAGGAGGAACCACCAAGATTGTCAACGTTTGCGGTAACCACTGCTTTCATGTGGGTTTGTTTGGTCAAACTGAAACAAAGTAATAAAACTCCTGACCAACGTTTAAGAAATGACGCTGCGATGTGCGTCTTTACTTTTCTAGCTGATTGTAGAAGCCGCCTAAGATTGCCAACAAATTATTTTGGAAACTGTCTAAAACCATGTTTTGCAACGGCGAAAAGAAGTGAGCTAATTGGAGAAAATGGGATGGTTGTGGCTGCAAAGGCTATTGGAAGAGAAATTCTGGAGCTCGAGAAAGAACCACTGAGAGGGGCAGCGACTTGGATATCAAGTGGAAAGGAAGTATTGCGTAAATGTGAACACTACATAACACTTGCAGGATCGCCAAAACTGCGAGTTTACGAGACAGATTTTGGGTGGGGAAGGCCAGCAAAGAGTGAGGTCGTTCACCTTGGTTCTCAAGGATCCATTGCTATTGCTGAGAGTAGGGATGAGGAAAGCGGCGTTGAATTTGGCGTGCCACTTGCTCCAGATGAATTCGACAAATTCAATGTTATTTTTGAGCAAGGTTTACTGAGCTTGTGCAAATAAATTGTTGTACGATGGAGTGGTTGGTTGGTTTAATTGATGTTTGCTTCTACTTAAAACATTAAATAATGAAAGGTTTGTCCTTTTAAATTGGTCTTCAAGCTTCGGTTAGGGGAGAGAAAAACGAAAACAACAAATTATCACCTCCACATCCTTTCATCATCCTCCAGTTCAATTAAAAAGTCTTGACTTAATACAACAGTATCATCCAAAGGATAACAAATATTATATAATTATATCATCATATCAAATTATTATTTATAATATGTGACATAAAAATAATTAATTATAAATATTTATTTTTTTAAAATAAAATTTTAATTAAATATAATAAAATTATAAAAAATTTTAATGTTATATTGAAAAATATGGTTATTATAAACATTTAGTTGTTATAGGTTTAAGTTGAAAAATTTAGTTGTCAGAGTCACAATGAACAAGTTGTTACATGTCAGCCCTTTCATAAGTCACAGTCCCAGTGGACAACTGTAAGGAGGGAAGGAAAAGAAAGTAAGCGAGCGAAGCCGAAAGGAGCAAACCCAGTTGACATGAGGAACTGCGTAGAAGAGCTTGTGAAGTTCCCTCTCCACTCTCAGATGAACGGAACTCTAGAATGGGATATTGGGCTCTCACAAGAATTCTGCTCTTCTCTCCTTGGTCACCACTCAGCCGACCCCTTCTCCCCTATTGCCAGTAAGAAATGAAAAAACCCCAACAAATAATCTTCTCTTTTTTTTTTTTTCTGTGGAATTACGGTATCTACTTCATTTGGTTAGAGGTGGGATTCATTTCTTTGTACTTATGGAGCAGATTCTCTGGGAGTCTCTCAAAATCCTTTATACATCCAGTTAGCGTCGGCCTTATATGAAATCATAACTTTTGGTTCACTTCAAGCGTCATCTAAGTGTAACAAGTTGGCATCTTCTTATGAAGGCAGTGGCTTGAAGCAGAAAGAAGAGTGGTTTGACTTAGTTCACAAAAAGGGATCTGAATTAGCTGAAGTATGTACATCTGATGTTGATGGCTTTACCTTTTCCAGTTATATCCATAGTTCATGTGCATAGCTAATCGTTGCATTTCATCAGATTTTGAAGAACATCAATTTTGAACTACATGTTCAGGAGGCTTTCTTCACTCAACTAAAGGGTATTATTCTGTTCCACAAATATTTATGCTAATAATTATGCTCTTTTTTATTTGGTTTTTATATCAGCATTTATTCCATTCTTTATTTCTTTACATGAGTTGTTTTTCCTTTTTAATAGGTAAGTTGGGGCAGGGGCATTTGAACTTGGGACCTGCATTTTGGAGCTAAAGTGCAGCTACAGTTTCAATATTTTCTCTTTTCTATTACTCCTTTAGAAGAAGTGACGTCTTGCATTCTAGACATTTTCCATGTATATACTATTCAAGTGAAGACTTTTTTCCTATTAATTTGGTATTGTTTGTAGATGGGCCTGAAAACAGTAGAAGGGAGGTGCGCTCTTGGTGGCTATAATAGGTAGGCCTCACCGTAATGCACTCGTATGAATCTGTGTTTGCTTTGTTTCTTTTCCCTACTTTACAGTTTATGCCATTTATGATTCATTTTAATGTATGCCCTTGTTTAGATTTTTCTTGTGTAACAATAACTCAATACACGGATACCATTATCTAACAAATCCTATGAAACTATGGTAAAACTCTGACAAAAGAAAAAGGAAAAAGAGGTGGAAACATAAATTTTTTAATCAATGTTGTTATCATTAATATTGCATGATGTTTTCTTTTTCATTTGGTGGGATGGGGGTCAATGGATTAAGCATTTTCAGAAGGAACTCAACTGGCCTCATCTTGAAAAACCAAAACAAAGAGATTATCCTATCAACTGATGCTATAATTTTAATTTGAGAATCTCCTTTTATCAGCTTCAATAGAAATATGGTGTATTATTCAAAGTGGATAGGGAAGATAGATATTTACATCAAGAATAGTAAGACATTATCTTTCAAAAAAACAAAAAAAAAAGAGAAAGACATTGGATGATAGGTACTGGTGATATTGTTTTTAGTTTTTTCTGGTTATGCTTGCCACTGAACTTATAATGGATTTATATTGAATAGTTGAGTATATTTTATAAGCTTTTCTTTATATTTTCTTCTTATTGTGTTGACTTCAGAATTGCATCTGGGGCATTGATCCTTTTCTACAAATGCTTGGTACTTGAGGTTCAGGCAGCAGGTGTTTTTCAAGTTATCCATGCTTTTTTTTTATCTCTTATTCAGTTAGTTTCTTCTAATACATTTGATTGACAGGATGTTCACCGTTGTGCTTCATTCTTTGAGATGTTGGAAGCAGAGAGTCTTGCAAAGGTACTTCCAGGAGTTGAAACCATAGATGAAGGTAATGAAGGGTTAAATAAATTATGATGTTTTCCATAAGGGTTAAAACTACAAATAAGTTTGGTCCACAAGCACAATTAACAAATATCGTTCACTCCTAGAACAATACAAGGAAGAAAGGAATATGTTGGTCCCTTAACACTTAGTTATCTAAAAGTTGAAAGTGTAGTTAGCCTAGGTGTGTTTGGATATTTTAAACCATAACAAATAATCTCGATACCGCTAAATTACAAACCAAAATTATCTTGGGAAGATGATCTGAGATCATTGATCAAGATTTTACACCTCTCTATGTGATGTTAATCTGTGCTAGTGCAGTGGAGCACTCCATTATTGGTAATTATTAGTTTTGCAGCTTGATTGTCTTCAAACCTCTAATTATAATGCTAAATTTATAAGAGAAAGATGATCCCAGATCCTTCTAGATTTAAGAGCTCTCTTATATAATGCTGATTTCTGCTATTATTGAAATGCATTCTGTGAATGCTAACCTTCCTGCATACCATTCTTTTTGCTATAACCATAATGATAAATCCATATATGAGAAGTTAATTTTATTAAGCAGGAAAAAGTTGAAAGTAGATGAAGAAACAAGTAAAACTGAAAGTATGACATTTGGACAAGAATTTAAATGTTTAAAATTTCTGTTAATTGAATTTAGCTCCAGTGAGCACTGTTAACAGCTTACAGAACAGTTTTTGCGGAAATGGCGGACACAAGCTAACACCTGTTGTTCTATACATTGTAGTCTGAGCCCTGTTATATGTGAGTTTCAAACTTTACTTGGAATTAATGAAAATACCTTATGATTGTAATTACATGCTACGATTTTTTTCCTTTACATTTATATTATTTTAATGAGGAAATTTTGAATGTTTGGACAAATCAGAACCTTTAAAGTGAATTCTTCATCATACTTGGCATCATGCAAATTTATGAAACATTGCTCTTTCAGGCATTCAAGTTTACAGGAAGTTTTACTCAGAAGAGAAAGAAATGTCCAATGGTGTACTTGCAATTTGTGTTGCAAAAGTGGCTGCTCAACCCTACCTTTCATTGGCCAGAATACTATCTGTGAGTGAGCTGACTCTGTGCTGCTTGGATTCGTGCCTATAACTGTATGAATAGATGAGATTCTATACTTTTAGATGAAGGGAAAATTTCTTTCCAGCGGAATAAAATTCATCAACAAATAGGAAAAATCACAAAGAGAGGCAGAATTTATGTTAAGTACCCAAACCAAAAGCTTCGAAATGAAAGCAAATCCAAAATGAAAACTGCAATCTTTGCCTCTGACTAATATCATAACCGACAATGGGTTGAGTAAACTTGGCTTTGAAAGTATCTTGGAATATGCTTTAATTGTGGAGTACTAGTTAAAGAACATTGATGTTGTTAGGAGGCATAGTTGATGTATAGAATATTGGTCAGTCTGTATTTAAAAGTATTTAGTAAAGACTAAAGAGTGAGCTTTGCAAATGTTGAGCATCTCACTTACAACAAACATGCATGTAGATGATTTATGCAGAAACCCTACTTCAGTTGAAAATGGACGTTAGCACTTGAAGTGTCCATCTGCATAAAGCAGTTTTCTACACTATGGAGATCGTAGGCTGTCTGACGCTATACGTAGGCTAGGAGTGTTGTGAATTGTGCTGACATAGTTGTATCCTTCTCCTACGTTTTTGGTGTTGTGCAAAAATTATAATGTCTGATTTCAGGGGTTGAGTTATGAGGGTGTTCAAAGTCTTTTAAATGAGGAGCATCTTCTTGGATCTATTCCATGAGAATTCTCATTGGGAAGGGTAACTTCTCTGCTACACGGCTACACCGCAATTAGAAGTCAAATGCAAGATGAGGACACAGGATCCATTGTTTGTTGTGTTATACTCCATCCCAAGAAAAGTTGCTTGATATAGATTCTAGGAATATCTTCTGTTTCCTTCGTTTTGAATCCTGTGACTGATCATAAAAAGTTCCAACATGTGGAGTAGATTGAAATTGGGATGAACTCGTTTATCACCACTCTCACCAAGTGCCATACACATGTCAGACAGGTTATGAAGTTGGTCCCTCAAGAGACTGGGGAAGTTACGCAAAAATATAACACGCACACAGTGCCTTGAGATAAATTTTCCCGAGTATCACAGCTAGAAAATGATTTCTCTGACCATAATGTTAAGATAGACGCAGCCTAAGTTTCTCTCTAAAGAAAAAACAAATCCCCCTGCTGCCTCTCCTGAAGGCAGGATTTGATCTCCATTCCTTAATGCACCCACCAAAAGACTTGATCAACTGAGGTGGCTGAGATGTCCTCTGTTCCATTTGTTGTAAATATTTAGCTGGTTAGAGAGATGGGAAAGTGGTGATCTTGTGTATGGTTGAATTCAAGAAATGAAACCACAGAAATATGGAACTTGGATTCTTCTATGGCTTCTCGAGAGAACTAAAATAGAATCATACAAAAATGTTGTACGATTTTACACTTAAATCTAAAAAATGAGTTGGTGAATCCCCTTGCCCTGATCCTTGCCAAGCTGCTCTGATTCCAGAACCACTCTGCCAATAACTTGTCTTAAGGGACCGCCCAAAATGGATATGGCAATATGCTGTGGCAAAACCCAGTCACCTTCTTCACAAGGTTTAAACAATAAATCCCATAAAGTTTACTTTTCTTCATAAATCAAAGGAAAGAGATATATTACTTAAAGCGATAACAGAATGTAAAAGTAATTTTTAAATTAAGACTGATTAAATTCACATTGAAATTAAATTACATTGTTTTTATTAAGTAGTGCAATTAAATTTGCTGACTTTTGTTGTTCTTGGAAATAAAACTTTTGCTACTATTAAATAATTTTTGCTTTTCATCTAATTATTATTCCTTCACTCTAAGGGTCCGTTTGGTATCATGGATGTAAAGCACATTATCTGCAATGTGACTTATTAAATTATACTGCAGTGTTTATTTTGTAACAGACCACTGCAATGTAAGATTGCAATGCAATCA